GCGAGATCGAAACTGCAGTCCACTCCAGCCGAGAAGAGAACAACTTTTGGGAATGCAAAGCAATAGAAATATTCAATGGAAACGTCAGTCCAACTCATATCATTTGTGGGAAAATTCTACTTATACCAGTCCTTCATCACCTTAAACGAAATTGGGTGAATACATCTTGTAGAATTTTCCCACAATGATATGAATACATCTCATATTACTTATTTACTGGTAGTCTCGAAACTCTATTCTTATACGAAAATAAGTCACGCAGTCGATTGCTATAACAAATATACGTTTGCTTCATCGGCACTACCACCAAAGAGTATGATATGGCAAAGAGGCCTGACCTTCCTTGAAATTCATTTATGCCCTGTAACTCAACGGTACTCGTGGCAGTGTAGCCGAGTGGTTAGCGTGTCAAGATACCATCCTGCACTGTCGTGGTTCGACTCCCGCTGAGGGTGTTGACATGACTTTTGGGAAAGCAAGGCTATGTGAAATTGAATGGAAACGTCAGCTCAACTCATATCATTGTGGGAAAATCGTTCTTCTACCAGTCCTTCATCACCTTAAACGAAACGTATTTCTACTATAGCAATCAACTATGTTAGTTATTTTTCGTTTAGAAATAGCCTTTCTGGACTATCAGTTGATCATGTATATGAGATGTATTCATCCTATTTCGTTTAGGATGATGTTTATCAGAAGTGTCATTTCATGTAATTATTTTGTCCACCATTCCTATCGATATCTTTTTCCTTTTCAAGACTATCTGAAAGTCAGCCTAGGTCGCATGCGACGATGAAGCACTGATGGCCTTTATTTTTTCATCCAATTACACTTATTTTTCTTTTCCTAAAAGACAGTGTTTCTTATTTGTCTGAACTATAATCGGCTTTACTCTACTCCACTCCACTCGACTGAAGTGGACTTAACTCGACACGCTTCAATTCTACTCAACTCTAGTAGTGATAAGAGTAGACCTTGCGTTTCCATTAAACTTCACATTGCTTTGCTTTCCCAAAAGCTATTCTCATCCCGACTGGAGTAGACCCCCAGTTTTAACCTCGCCAGAAATGATCTCATCAGCCCCCCCAGCAGAACTCAACTACGACAGGGTGTCGTGTTAATCGTTACACTCTACTGTCACGAATGCCTTTTGGTCACGGTGCAGATGGGAATTTCAAAGAAGGCAAAGCATTTTCCATATCACATTTTGTGGTGGGATTGTTGATGAAATGACTTTAAACCAAATAGAGTGAATACAAATCATACATTTTTTCGTTTCTTACCTAGACTTTGAGTTTTCACGACTTTTTCTCTCCCAGTTTTACCTTTTTTCTAGAATACCTTTTCTTTCCTCCTTCTGCACTCTCTTTAACTGGCTATTTCCGGCTCAGTGAGTACCTGTTTAGAGTGGTAGAAACGGCGGAATCGTGCGCCGCCGAAGCCTACTCGCGGCACCACCTTGCCTTTCCGTTGCGTGATCCTGAGAGTCGTGCTATCGGAGTCGTGGACATCTGCACAGAAGCATTTGCCAAGCGAATGAACGTCAAGCAGACGAACCTACTCAGTCGAATGATGGCATTGATTCAGGCAAGTGCCTCTTCCTATTCCTTTCGCCATTGCCCTCATTTTTCAGTTCGCCAGAAGATCTACCCTCTGAGTATGGCCAAATTAGTTTGGCTTAGGTGATAGCCATTGGGGAGATCGACAGAGAGACTTTTTAAGAGAATGCCTCGTAGACAGGTTTGAGGTAGCCGTCCTATTCTCAGAAGGTATGAGGACAGACAGGCGAGGGATTGCATTTTGGTGTACATTTTGTTAGTAAGTTTTTTCAATATCTCAAACCCAGAACCACGTTCTACCTATTGGATGTGTTGTCAAGGCAGTTCATATGTGATTTTACTTTCTCTGATTCTGTTTCTTCATACTCTGGAAAGCCAACAAGCTTTATGCTTATGTGGCTGTAGTCATTAAGGGACTAGAATAGAATAAGCCCTATGTGGCTAGCCTAGGAACTGGGCCAGACTGCATGCATAGTAGTGGGAATAGATATGTTTTGAGACTATGCTGTTGTGAACGCTGGCAAGACCTATGCGAAGTCCAGTTAGTAGTTCAAGATTAATGATAAATTCTTTATTTGAGGGCATTGCACGTAATTCATTTACATTCGGAGTCAATTCATCTATCAGACTTCCATAAAGTTGTTCGATTTAAGTTTACTAGGACTCTTATAAAGGTTTACTGATAATCCTAAAATATAATCTCTCTCTCTCTCTCTCTCTCTATATATATATATATATATATAT